GGCTAAGCTAAGCTAGTAACACTTTACAGGAAATTAGGGGGGGAGAGAGAGAGAGTGAGAGAGATATATAGAAAGGGGCCTGCCCTATGTACGAGGCCTCTCGCGGGGCACGAACAACGTTACTCTCGAAGATGCAAACCAGACATAAATATACTCTATTTATAATAGCTCTAACGCGATCCGAGACGTTCCTCTCGCGAGCCTACACACTCTGACCAGAGACACTAGTTAGGCGCGGACCCGACAGATGGCCGACACGGCGCAAGAAACGCCAAAGCGGGTTCCTGTGGACTTGGTATATCTGCACCAGTTGGGTTGGGTAGTTACGCGATTTTCAAGGTAAGCACGTAAGTACTTTCAAGGTATAATAAATTAGATGGGCCCATGTGTTCAAAATTGTTTAAAACTTCGCGTTACTAATATGGCGGATGCCGCAGATGCACGATATATATATCCGCTAGGTTGTAGCGGCTTTCAGCGCGCATGTAAACACGTAAATATTTGTAAGGAATAATTAATCTGGCGCACGTGTTCAAAATTGTTTTAGACCACGTTTCCAATATGGCGGATGGACAAAACATGTATCCGCTAGATTATAAACGTTTTTCAGCGCGCATGTAAACACGTAATTTTTAGAGAATAATTAATTTGAAGCATGTGTTCAAAATTGTTTTAAACTTCACGTTTCCAATATGGCGGATGCACGATATATGTATCCGCTAGGTTATAGCGGCTTTCAGCGCGCATGTAAACACGTAAATATTTGTAAGGAATAATTAATTTGGCGCATGTATTCAAAATTGTTTTAGACCACGTTTCCAATATGGCGTATGCACAATGTATGTATCCGCTAAATTATAAGCGTTTTTCAGCGCGCATGTAAACGCATAAAAGTTTATACGGAATAATTAATTTGAAGCATGTGTTCAAAATTGTTTATAATTTCACGTTTTCAATATGGCGGATGCCGCAGATGCACGATATATGTATCCGCTACATTATAAACGTCTTTCAGCGCGCATGTAAACACGTAAATATTAAATCGAGATTGATAAGAAATATTTCCGAGTGAATTTTATCAAATTTGGCTGCAACGTTCAAGCTGTTTGTCCCAAAGTTTCGTGAATTCCCTTTTCTGTCTCGCAGGTATGTAGCACCTCATATTTTTCTTTAAATCCTGTTGTATTAGTTTTGTTGTTTTAGGAATTATACCTTGTAAATGTAAATTGCGCCGAAAGGGGAATAATGCCCGGCATAGGGCAACATACCGCAAAAGATCTTTTTCAAAAAGGACATGAAACTATGACTAGTTGCAGTAAATACAACGTCGCAAGAGAAATTCAGGGAAATCCCTCAAGAAAAATGAAGTCTGGCACCTCAAAGAGGACCGCGGCCTTTATCAATAAAATAGGGTTCCCGATATGCGGCAACGTGTCCCTGTGCAAGAAATGGCTCTACGAAAAAAGCCCGAAAACGACATTCGAGGATCTTGATGACATAACCTGCCCTAACTGTGCAAATTAATGCGCACCCTCCCATCGATGTCCATGGGCCTTATTACCTCCACCTTGAGGTAACAAAGCCCAGGAGCACCATCCTGAAATTTTTTAATTCCATATTAATTTAGAATTACATTTTATTATTATACTTCGTACCTGAAACAAGCATTGTTCATGTACCCTTTGTTCATTTCCCCTTCCCAAAATGCTTCATATTTTAGTTTCAACCGGCCTTTTAGGTTATGGTGGACCTTATTACCCAAAGTTACCTTAACCCTCTATGGGCCCGTGTAACTTTCAGGTCATATTTTAAATGAAAAATTTTGTTTTCATTTGCATATATAGGTTCCTAATTGCTGATTTTTCGTTCCCCCAATTTTTTTTTTATTTAAAACAAAAATTCGGCCCATAGAGGGTTAATACAGAGATGTACCCTTTGTTCATTTCCCCTTCCCAAAATACTTTATATACGTTTTTTCCGGCCTCTCAAGTTATGGAGGGCCTTATTACCCAAAGCTACCTCAATACAGAGATATGCCATTTTTAATATCTCACTTCGTCCCAATGGCCGGAAGTGAGGGGGGTTCGAATATCCCAAGTCCACGGGCACTTCCGTTTGCCGCGGGTCGAGCACAGGTCGACTTCCGTCTCGATAGGTCGATTCGTCGGTCGTGGTCGAGATCGAACACATGGAGCTTATAGAAACGGAGGAGATGTGTATAAAAGTAGGTCTGTGTCCGGAGGAGATTAACCCATTTATTGCCAGGCAAATTCAGAGGCAATCTTGGTACACACGCTTACTATGAGATATCTCGTAGTTGGCAGTGAATGGGTTAAACCCAGGAGGCTGTTCGCTCAAAAATCAGTGAAAACGATTCCCTTCTTTAGAGCCGATTGGGTGCATTCAGAGGAGACAACTGTTGAGTGATCGGTTAGCGCTCATCTGCTGAATGGGTACGTTCACTCAACATGTTTACTGATCAGACCATTCTGATCGCCATTTTAAGCAGAAAATCGCAACATGTTCCCAACTCATCGGTAACCGCTTTTCTCCTCTGAGTGCACCCATTGTCTTTGATTTCATATGATGAACAATGGGATTCGGTAACAATGAACGTTCGGCCTTAAAATTATAACAGCGTTTCGGTGATTTCCACCGATTTACAGTGATTTACGATTTCCACCTGATTTCCACATGATTTCGAGTGTTGAGGTTAAATGAAATTGTCATTCCATATACATGAAACGTAAAAATATTATTATGAAACTTTTCTTCAAACTGGATGCACCGAATCATCTGAAACTTCAGCCCGTGATTAGGAAAGCCCTAATGAAGAACGCGATTTTCATGGAATTTTATTTTTCAGAAAAAAGTGTGATCTTGAGCTTGGCTAAATGAAATAAATTTTCATTTGAAAAATACAATTTTACAGTATCATATCGTCGATTCTCCTATTTTGCATAGACACAAAAAAAAAGAACTACAAACAAAAAAGACGAGGAAAAAGTGCACCAAATTAATGTTCATTTAAAGTGAATAAATTTCCGTGAGAGTAATTGATTTTTCATATGCTTTTTATCGTTCACCCTATCGCTTAAATCCCGTTATCAAGAATCCCCCTATGCGCGCGCAGCATATTGTGATAGCGCTAAAAATGAGAAGATAGCATATACTATAGCAAATTGTTGTGACTGTCTTATGTTGCACAAATATGAAAAAAAAAAAAAAAAAAAGAGAAAGCAGGCCAGGAAGAAATGCAATGAATATTCAATGAAAATAAACGTTTCAGCGAAAAACAAAAGAAAGTTTTCCGCATGATTTCTAACACTGTCATTCTAGATCTCAAAACGTAAAAATATTGATTAAACATTTCTCCAAACAGAGTGCACTGAATCATTCGAAAACGTCAGTACGCGTAAGAACGCATCTGCTCATGAAATTTCATTTTTCCCAAAAAAATGTGATCTTGGTCTAGGCTAAATAAAATAAATTTTCTTGTGAAAAATAGTATTTTTCAAGCATCGCGTTCTTCCTTAGGACATACATAATTACGTGCTGAAGTACTAAATGATTCGGTGTCCCCAATTAGAAGTAATGTTTTATAAATATTTTGACATTTAATATATATATATATATATATATATAGAATAACCCTTTCTCAAATCAAACCAAATGTAATGCAAATACATTTATCATTCCGAAAATGGTATTTTCCCTGAAAATCATATCTGTAAAAATTTGCAGTTTTCTACTTCACCTGACCAAATAAAGGAACGAAAAATTAAATCTAACCAACTAGGGAAAAAAAAAAAAAATTATAAGCTCCATTTGAAAACGACATTTTATTTGGCGAGCACCCGAAGTACACTCCTAGCATTCATGATCATTATTTTAATGCTCGCCAAATAAAATGTTCTCAAATGAAGCGTCTAATTTTTTTTCCTTTTATTTCGTTAAATTTAATTTCTAATTCTTTCATTTCGTCGGATGAAATGGAAAACTGCAGATTTTTAGAGATATGATCTCCAGGGAAGATATCATTTTCGGAATAATAAATGTATCTGCATTAAATTTGATTCGATTTGAATACATGAATACAGTATACGTGTGGAAAAATGTAATATGACATTTGATAAAATCTGGGAGTGGGAGGTGCAATGCGAGGTGTACGTATATGTATATAGTCTAAGTGTGCAAGGCGATCATACACACACTACAGCCTGTATTTCTATAAGGTATAATCTCTCCTCCATTTCTATAAGGTCTATGGTAGAATCGGACGAGTTCCGTTTGCGGAAATCATCGAAACTGCGTTCGCCCGTGGTCGGCGCGATCCGGGGGAATTCCGTCGCGCATTAAACTCTAAGTACTGCTTTGGCAACGTCTGTCTCGTCGGCTCATCGGGCGGCAATTCCTCTCGAGTCTGGCAAACTTAAACGACTACGACCCGATGCACACGCGCGTGTCCACGCGGCAGGACGCGACCTCGAAATAGCGATTCGGTTGTCACATATCAGACAGGCCGGAGTGAGGCTCTCAAGGTGATATGAAAATGTGACATATACGTACCAAAAAGTCAAAACATTGATAAAACTCATCCCCAAACTGGGTGCACCAAATAATCTAAAACTTTAACCCTTTGAACACGGAGCCATTTCGACATACGGGCGAAATTCGTGTGACCGTGCAGGCAATATTGGACCAAACGTCGGGCGTGTTTAGGCACTCTTAGTAGCCAAAGGGTTAATTGAATAGCACCAAAGAGATATTTCGTTAATTCGAAGAATAATTATTAAAAAGAATTTCGATGAACCAAGGAAATATTTAGCTCTTTGAACACGGAGCCTTTTCGACATATGGGCGAAATTCGTCTGACCGTGCAGGCAATATTGGACCAAACGTCGGGCGCGTTTAGGCGCTCTTAGGAGCCAAAGGGTTAACTGAGTAGCACCCAAGAGATATTTCGTTATTTCGAAGAATAATTATTAAAGAGAATTTCGATGAACCAAGGAAATATTTAGCTCTTTGAACACGGAGCCTTTTCGACGTATGGGAGAAATTCGTCTGACCGTGCAACCAAAAATGAAGTCTCTCGCGTTTCCTGACCAGGGTTGGCATAAATCCGGTATTTTTTACAAAAAGCCCAGAGCCCAATGGTTTTAACCGGTTTAACCCATATTTACTGGTACTTCCCGCCTAAATAGTTGCCTAAAAACCAGTGGTTATAACCTGGTTAAAACCATATTTAAACCGGGTTAATTCCATTGTCTTATCCCGGGGATGCGCATTTACTGGTTTCTCCCGTCTAAATAGTTGCCTAAAAACCAGTGGTCATACCCTGCTTAAAACCACATTTAAACCGGGTTCATTGTCCATTGTCTTATCCCGAGGATGCGTAGGAAAAAAAAAAAAAGTTTTAACGCTACCTACACCGTAGATAGTTAAGAATTAATTTCCACTTCTTTGGATGTGAGTGTAGCGCACGTGTAGGTACAGGGTGCATACACAATATTACAATAAATTTCAAGCGAAATACATCCCGATTGATTTCATAACATGGTTTTAACCGGCAAAAGCCCTGGGCAAAATTGAGTGGACTTTACGCACTGTATTTTATTTATTGGAGAAAAAAACGGGAATAAAAAACCGCAGTTTTTGACCGGAATGGAACTTTGCCAACCCCGTTCCCGATCGTGTCTCTTTTGGTTGTCGCTCGTCAGATTAGAAACGTTCCTTTTGCACATTAAATACGTATACTATTATATATATTAAATACGTATATTATTATATATATTAAGTACGTAATAAATACATATAAAAGCAACGTTTCATCTTCCTAGCGCCCGTATTGCGTGACTCCGGCGGACACTGTGAGTCCCCGAAGTTTCCGTTCGCCACCGCTGCGGCGCTGCTGCGGCGAGAACACGCGCGTGTGCACCACGTCAGCGATAGAACTTTTAACGACCGGCGGCCACGATATCGCGGAATGATGAGAGCAAAACCCATGTCAGGCCATCTCGCGTCCTTATCTCTAAGAGAATGGAAATCGGATTTCGTATTACGAGGACGAGTGCCCTGCACCGGACCTTAACTCTCAAAAGGGATCTATTTGGCCTCCATTGCGCCGGCTGAGCCTTGCAAAAAGGACTGGTAGAGTCTCTGGGATATATAATATTTATATATGTATATATATATGTATATGCTATCGACGGAGTGCGGCGATTATCTGACGACCGTGGTACCGTCGAGATCGTATGTCCACTCAGAGGTTTGTCCATCTGTGCTCTTCCGATAAACCATGTACAGTACGGACTGGGAGGAACCGAAAAAGACCTATAACGCTTCCGTCCTCGCCCATGTACTTTAAATAATCTCCACATTGATCCTAGTACCGGACAAAGGTACGCACAGTTTGCAACGCAGTTTGACGCATGACCGTTTCCGAAAAGACCGGATAAGAAGAGTACCGACGAAGAGAATCGTGCTTTCCGACCATCGGGATAAGAAAAATACCGCGTCTTGTATGTCTAGTCAATTTGTGGTAAAAAGAGCGACCTATAAAGACGTTGTAACGTTCTTCCTCGCATTTATTTCAGGCTGTACCCCGGTTACGCAAAGAAGCGAAAGGGCACCACGTAGCACTGTTCTCTTGGCTTGAATATTGCGTGTCAATAACATGCGTCTCGACGCAGAACAGGTAAAAAATCTTCTTGCAATTTGATATCGCAGCTCGATCGGTACCAAAGAGCGTCGGCGTAGCAGTTCCGAAGCGTTACAGATCTTCCGGGCGTTCCTCAATCAATGTACACACCTAAGCTACCGCTCTATTATATACAAAAAGTCGTTCGATTAATCATTAATAAACTCTAGATTACGGAGCTTTAATAACGATAGAGGATGGGCTACATCAGAGATCGTTAGATCGCATGGAAGTAACGTTGGTGTAAGGGTGGTGATGGTGTGGCCTGTGCAGGGTGCTGCTTATGGTGAGGGGACCTACCATATGACCAGGCCTCGCCCATGTGTAGACGTATCCGTCCTGACACGCCGTCACGAAGCAATCTTCCCTAAACACTAGTTCAGTCAGTCTCTCGTGGGCCAGCTTTTTGCATACCAGCGGCTCCAGGACAGGGCACTCGTCGAACCTAGGGCACCAGGCAGTCCCTATCAACCTCATCGGGTCGTCCATAACCGAGCTGACCTTTTTACTGGCACCTAAACTCCCACTGACACTGTTAGAATTACTCGTGTTAGAGTTACTCCCCGGCTTGTCCCCACTACTGTTCTGCAACGTCGAGTTGTTGCTGGTACCGGTACCCCTGGAGGTCAGACTAAAGTTCCTCTTATGGTTAACGCCCTTACGTTCTCCAAACCCGAGGCCCGCTAACCTCTGGGTGAGGGAGTTCACGGTGGAGACCGCGGCATTGGTACCGGTGCTATTGTTACTACTTTCGTTATTACCACTGGCACTCTCCTTGAAGTTAACGTTATTCGAGTTATTATGCTTGTTGCTGTTAGAGTGGTGGTTCGTCGTCGCGCCGTTCCCGCTGGTGAAGGTCCCCGAGGAGGAGAACGTCCCCGAGCCGGCCGTCGACGTCCTCTGCTTGGCGCACATCGGTTGCCTGAGCACGTCTTCCGTAATGTCCCACAAACACAGCTGGGTGTCCTGGGACACGCTTCCCAGCCTGTAGCACGTTCCTCCGGATACCTTCAGCTCCGAGCCGCAAGAGTTCCTGTTGGAGTGCACACCCTGCGAGGAATTCGACACCCTGCCGGTGTTCTTCTCGTTGAAGTGGTTCCGGTTGTTGTGCGGCGTCGACTCTTCGTCCGACCCGCTGAAGTCCGGGTCGTGGTCGCCGTAGGACGTGGTGTACGGGTCGAAAGCGACGACACTTACCCAACTGTGGTGGCCCTGGCCTCTCGCGACGACCCTTTTCTCGTGGAAACTCCAGATCGTCACTAGGTCGTCCTCCCCGCCGACGACCACGTACCTCCCGTCCGGGGACCAACATACGCAGAGGAATCCACCGAAGTAACTTCTCGCGGAGCCAACCAGTTCCATGGTGTCGTAGTGGAACACTCTAAGGAAACCGTCTTGGGATACCACTGCTAGATTCGTTCCACAGGGACTGAAGGCAAACTCGTTTATACAACATCCCTCCGCTCCTATCACCCATCTGTACAGCGGATTTCTTGTAGACTTAGTCTTGCAGGTGTGAATCGCGTACCCGTCGCCTGATTTGAACGGCTGATAATGAGGCGGCGTAGGACCGCAGAGGAGCTCCTCGTTGTAGAGATACAGCTGACCGGAACTGTGGGACACCAAGAACAGCTTGCTCGACTCCGGAACCCACTTTATGCAAGTTACTTTACTCTTATCTATGAGCCTCTGAAACACGCAAGAAATATGTATTCTTTACCATCCAAGTGGCAGAGTTCATGTCAGTTTCTATCGATCCATTAACACGGTGTCATCCAAGTCGAATTTATGTATTCGCATTGCGATCTCTATGATATAAATGTGACACCCTCTAGAAAATATCTCCCGTAGTTGTGGCTGGTTATACTGTGCATGGTTGGTCAAAGAGTCTGACGGTAGACAGTAGTTTCCACGAGGAGATAGCACAAAGTTATGTAATCTTGCCTGTTGAGCTTAATTATTTGATTGAGTTATAATTGCATTAGAGCGGAACTTCCACCAAGGAACGTTCGTGACTTCCCTTACAAAATATCGAGTAAAATTCATACAATAGGGAGTAGCACTGTAAGCAATTACTAATTGTTCCTTTTATCGTGTTTCAACAAGATAACGCACACACATCACAGAGATTGGATAAGTGGAAATGGCTCTTACACGTAGAGCTCGTAAAGAGATATCTCAAGGAAGCCAACCTGATAGATCCAAAGGAACATTTTGCCGATTCGTAGCCCGGGTGAATCTTCATAGGACATTGCCGTATTTAATTAGCATAACGTTTGGAGCACACGTATCTTGGAGTAAGAACAAGCGATTCTAAAGTACGTTCGCATACATACCTCTTCATTGTACAGTTTGCCAACCTCTTTCTTCATCGGATCTATTAGTTGAATTTGTCCAGTAGAAAAGCCTACCAACAATGGTGCGCTATCCGCAGTCGCCGCAGTTTGGTTGAAATTATGACAAGTTGGATTCGTTCCTTTATACAACTTCCTGTCTACTGGTTTATTGAGATCCACTGCCTAGAAAGAGAACGAGATTTCTATTTAGATTTTCTACTCGAAACGTATTTTTCCATCCTTGATTTCACGATTAAACGATAAGCCGAACTTTAATTTAAAGTATACATCCATTAATTTCCGTAGACTTGTTCCGACATTTACAAAAACCATTATTACGAGTAACGAATTCAATACATCGACAACTGCATTAAATTAAGCCGAGAGATTTCTTCTCCGTCAAAAAATTAGTACTCAGCAGATACACCCAAATATTCAATATAAACAATTCGAAATACCCAAAGCGATACCTAAGCAAAGATTTCCAAAATCATAATCGCTAATACCAAAGTGTTTTCAAGTCATTCCTAAATCCACAAACTCTTCCACACCGCGTAAATATGGTCACATACGACGAATCATAAAAGTTAGGTTACAAGCAACACCCCAAAAATAAAGTCTCCGAAACATTAAGTCACGATCTCGTGACCACCCAAAGCTACATACTGAACCACCGATGCCAAAGCAGCATAAATAAATACACTGAATTGAGAATGAAACTAAGATCGGAAAGCAAGGGCCCCGGACAACTTCGCCAAGGTATCGTCCCAGGAATTGACACTTCCCCTCCCTAACAATCTATTACCAAACCCCATAAAAAGTAATCATAGCTGTCTTTCTTTAACGCATCCTAAAGTTTCTCCTAAATCTACACGGCACACCACCAGGTAAGGTGTGGTAGCGACGAGCAAAGATGGAGTCCCGAGGTTTGTAGGTTATGTCGGATCCTCGTGAGAATCCTCGGGCCATCCCTTGCCCGCGCCCTCGGGAAGGGCTCCCAGGAGCGGCCCGTACCTTTTTGACCCCTCGGTAGACGTAGACGTAGAGCTCCTTGCCGGAATTGAAGCACATTCGGTCCCCGAGTCCCTGAGTGCCCGTCGGGTCGGCGGGGTCGGGCAGAGTGACGAAGGACACCCTGACGGAGGCGCTGCCCTGGCTGTTCGTGTATCCCACCCGGTTCGGCCTGGAGTACTCGGAGAGGGTCATGAGCTTGTAGGTTCCTTCCCTCGTGACAAACTGTGTTTTCAAGTCCTCCTTTCCCCCTCCATCCAGCTGCACCGCCATCTTACCACCGAAGGCGCAACGGAGGAGCTCATCAGACGGCACCGGGACGAGAGATCGGCGAGGAGCCGGCGCCGCCTGGCGCCGCGCCTCTCCGCCCGCCTGCCCGTGCCCGAAGAAGCGCGCGAGTCGCGCGTCTGCCGAGCCTCGGCCTCCGTGTCGGTCCCGCACGCGCCACTCGTGCACCAGGCCAGGCCGGGACCCTCGGAGGGGTCGCCGGGCACCACACCGGGCGCACCCTGCTCCGGATCTCGCCGCTGCCGCGTCTCTTACACCTCCTGGGAGTCGACGAGCCTCTGGCCGGCTCGGAACTTGGAATCGCGCGGCTCTGCGGGTCGATTCGGGCCCGTGTCCACCCCCGTATACGTTTGTCGCGCCGCTCGCTGCCGCCTGCTGCCGCCCGCGAGCCCACTGCGAGCCGCGGCGAGCCGCTCGCTCGCGCCGTCTCGTCCACTGTTGTCGGTGCGCGCGCACGCCGCGCGGCGCTGCCGCCACCGAGCGGCGCGAGGGCGAACCGACCAATATGGCCGTCGGTAAAGCTTGTGCCTAGGTTCGTTGTATTACCTGGATAATACAGGGTTGGGTAGGTATAATACGTCATATAGCATATGTGGGTTAATTTAAATATCGGGCTACCGATATTTCAGCATCCATTAAGCATTTTATATCATAAAACACGAAATATATTACATTGGTAAAGCTTGTACCGAGGTGCGTTATATTACCTGGGTAATACAAGGTAATACAGGGTTGCGTAGGTATAATACGTCATATAGCATACGTGGGTTAATTTAAATATCGTGCTACCGATATATATATTTCATCATCCGTTAAGCATTTTATATCATAAAACACGAAATATATTAGACTTCTAGCGCTGACTTCAACGAACACGGTACATTGATAAACATAAGTGAATATCTAAAATCTTTAGAAATGTAATAAAAATTGTTCACGAGGCATAATAATCTATCGTGATTTCCTGGAATTGTCGAGAACAACTTAAATATATTAAAAAATTTCAAGTCCCCTAAATTCTTATAAATTCACCTAGGAAGTAGTCAATTAATTTCTCGGTCATATTCTCGTTGTCTGTAATATTCCCTCGGAGAGATAACGTACTAAAAACCGTAATTTCACCCACGAAACTCCCTTTCTACTTTTCGTATTCCATTTTCCTTATTTTTTCTGTACAACTATTCAATATTTGAGTTCAGTGTCCACTACATAAATATCAATCAATAGCAAAAAACTGTACCGTTAGATGTTCTTTAATGTACTAATTTATTCATAGATTATGCAGAATGGATCATCGGGGCAATTTTTATCCGCTCTTCATTCCGCCGCACTGTTTCCGCCTGATCGTACCTGGAAAAACTTTCCGAGGAAGACGTCATGGCACTGAAAACGAAATACAAGGAAATCGCTCGTCTTCGGGAACTCGACAAACAAGACCAGACGGATGATGTAACGAACGCGTGTTACAATATGACGATTTGCAATGTGCGAAGCATGTATAATGGATTCTTGATTCTCGGCAGTTTATTTTTTTCTTTTCTTTCTTTCTGAGGAGTCTGCGTTACTCCACGCGCCATGGCGCAGGAATTATTACTTTAAATTGGGTCCGCATTATTTTGTCCTCGTTAGATGATTACTCATCAATTTACGAAAGGGGACAGTGCGTACACGCACGTACGGCCTTCTCGTCCAAAATGGTCTCCCTTCGTAGGGAATCTATATTAACGCGCTCTAAATATGTATTTTTATATTCTCTTGTGGTGATATGAAAGAGTCAGCCTATATATACCTGAGAGGTCAAATTGTTGTTGAAAGTATTCCCCAAATTGGGTGTACCGATTCCTTTCAAATTTTACCACGTGAATATGGAGGCCCTTAAGTAGGTCCTGACACTCACGAAATTTCATTTTTCATCCAAAATTTATTTACTTATCATGGACTGGAATCAACATGGCGTGGTCCGGGCACGTTTTCGATGTTTTACGCTTCTTGGAGATTTAAAATTGAAAATCAAGAGTTTCAAGACCTAGCGAGAAGAATTTAGAATACCGTAGAAATGGAATATTACAAAGTCAGATGGGAAAATATGGAAAATACTTTCCCCAATGATCGCAAGAGAATACTGGCTTGTCTCGTGGCCAACGCAGGTCTTTAGAGAAAAAAATTAGTTCCTCCTAAACGTCACAGATGGCGACGTTGGTCCTAAACAGTCGTTAGAATAATGAATTCCCGGGATTTCGATAGTTTTACGTCGATCTCTTCGTCATTACTGTACCGAAATGACATATGGAACGCTTCAGTTCGTATAATTCTCAACTTAGACTGTAAAAGACTTCAACATAAATATAAATGTCGGTAACAGGACGCGCCAGCGTATGTTCCCACTTGAGTATTCAAAATTACGTTGCCACCAATAAGGGTACAGATGAATTTTAATTAATCGACGTCGATTAAATTTCTCAGCGCCTTTCACATCATCTTATGCCTACAAATCTGCAAAATATCAGATTTAATGTGTCTTGAGATGACATGAAAAGTCCGTTCTGTGTATGTAAAACGTAAAAATATTTATAAAACTTTTCTACAAATTGGATGCACGTAATCATTTGAAACTTCAGCAGAAACTTCAGTGATTAATGAGACCCTAAGAAAGAACGCTCGTGAAATTTCAATTAAACGAAATTTTTTTTATCCATTCCAGACAAGAACTAAGGACATGTATTTGTTTTTTGAAAAATGAAATTTTATGAGCAATCGCGTTCTTCCTTGGGGCCTCAATAATCACGTGCAGAAGTTCCAAATGATTTGATGCTCTCAATTTGAAGAAAAGTTTTATAAATGTTTCGACATTGTACATATATAGAACGACCCTTTCATGGCACCTTAAAGTAATACCTTAAAATACTGTTCAATTAATTAGTGCGAAACCTAGCTTACAATCTTGCCAGAAGTAATTTTATTTATAAAATCAGATCCCCGCAATGTGTATTTGGCTCTAGTTTCTAATGTGCGTTTCTTTATTAGTTACGCGAAAGTGATTTAGATTAGAAACTAGGCGTTTTGTTTTGACTATGGAGATAAAATAAGATAGTAACATTTGTCAGCATGTTTTATAAGCGATAGTAAAATATGCCAAAGATATCTGCACAGTGGAACAGAGTTATCGACGCCTTGCGGTGAACGAGCACGTGCGATTGACTTTATCGACGCTGATAAGCTCATACATTCATTCACGATAAATAGTTGCCTCGATACGACAGCTCAAAATATATTTCACAAGTGAACTTCCGAAGCAGGACTGTGGTCGGGTTAATTTTTCAATTCATTATTCAGTTCAGTCCGTTTAGAAAAAAATACGATGCAAGGCGGAAGATATGAATAAACAGTCAAATGTACGACGTAGTCAAACGGATCTAAGGAATAATTTCCTAATAGGGTGTGAAGGTCGAGAATACAGGAACTAAGATATTAGTTGGGGCATCAGTCGTACGATGGCACCATCGCTTATTTTGTATCCAGTTTGGTAACTACCTTACCGACTGATACATTAAGTCGAGTCGCGCGTTAACCGCGAAAGTTTGAATGTTCTCATAAAGAAAATTGTTACAGAAGTTGCGGAAGAGAAAGTTATGTAATGGTATTGAATTAAACGAGTTGTTACAGACAGTTGACTCCTTTAATCGTGGATAGGTCGATATTAATTACGTTATAACTGTGGATAAATGGTATTATATTGGAGCCAGCCGATACAAGTCGCACGTCAACCGCGAAAATTTAAATTCTGTAACTATTGTCGATAGTTATTAACACGTTTTGTATAGAAAAATGAATAAACTGAATATCATAGTAAACTTTTGATTTAATTTTTCACCTTACAACACCGCAATTAATGACATAATTGTGGATACATGCTATAACATTATAGCCATTCTGATAACCGCCATATCGATCGATACAACCCTAGTAGCATAAATAATTTCTAAATATTTGTTTGTAATCTTTGCTAATTATCTCAAGCGACAGATTTTTTAAGATTTCTTGTAGATTTCATTCGAAGATATCTGAAATATTTGTTGAAAATCTCAATGACATAATTAGTTTCAATAATTTATATTTATGAACATATTATAAAAATACATTTCTTTTACTTCACGACTATTATCGGGCACTTCATTTGGTATGAAAAAACACAAGAAATTTTTGTAATATTTTCGTTCCGCTATTTCATTATAGGAGCAAAACGTGTGATTTTAATTTTAAATATTTTTAAACCGTTTATAATGTATTCGGCAGATAATATTTAAAAAATACTTTTATTAAAATAAAACGAAATGTTTTGTATATCTGGTAGAAAAATATTATGGAAACACATGCAGCTAATATTATATAAATATTATACGGATAATATTCTAAAGTAAACGATTTGCAAATATTTCAAATGTCTGCTAAATATTTACAAAATGTACGATATTCGTTAAATATATAGAAAATATAGGACAAATATTTTGTTCTACTAGGGAAGCCAAATCGAGCGTCGACCGCGAAAATTCAAATGCCATTAAAATTATCCATAATTACCATAGAGTTTTGTAAAGAAAAAGGAATAAACTAGACATTATAGCTCTCTCATACTTTATTCTCTCCCTACATCAGAGTTAACGAACATTCTCATTTTTAATAACATCTAGATAATACCAGAGATGAGCAGGATAATACATTAGGCGCCATCTACTCAACATCGGCGTACTAAAATCGCTTCGGTTACCGACAACTGCCTCCAGTCCACAAAAGTAGAAACTCCCCATATTTCCTTTTCTCTTGACCACGTTTCGTGGCGCCCTCTGCAAGAAAACGCAGAATAAACCGTCCAGCTTCTCATTTTATCAGCACCGAGGCTCCTAGGTGCGATTTACTGGTCTTACCGGTTCCTCCAATAGAAGGATAGTCCTCCACCGTCACGTGACAAGATCGGCCAACCGTCTCGCAGATACACGCAGCCATTTAAATGGGTATATACTCCCTGCATTAAAAACCTACCATAAACCTTGCTATCTCCTCGACGGAAATAACCACATAACCGGTGTGTCCCTTTATCAAAGCATTCAAGTCCACTTGGGCCGTAGATAAGAAAAAGAGTTCGAAGACGATCCCTCCAGGGGAGCGCCAAGAGGTGCGCAGCTCGCCACCAGAATGCCTCCGCGGCGCGCAGCGATCGCCTGGTGGTGGGGGGCGCCGCCAGCGGCCGCGGAGGGGAGGGATGCGCGCGCATTCCGAGCGCGGCGGAGCGCGCGGTGCTCGTAAATGGTTCTATTCTCGGTAAGAGCGAGCCGGAGTTCGGAGCGAGCGCGCGCGAGTCGGAGTCGACTCAGGAGGGTCAGA